GTATATTATTCGTCTTTAACCGAGTTGATTAATGCGAAGAAAATGTACTTGTTTTATGGTGCTGTTTGCACACTCAGAGATAGGTGCCTTAGAGTTATTTATTATATGAAATGTCTACGGCTTGAACATGGACTCGTGAATCAAATCTGTGCCATAATACTTCACGTAAAAAAATGTGTCTGTAATATTTGTACAGTTAAGCATATAAGATCTGTACGGCGGAAAACTCGACGAAAGATGTATTCTTCGGTTTCTCGCCGTCCTCCTATGTTGCGTTGCCATACAATTTGAACACTTTCAGTTTTCAATTCTGAATTTTGTCCGGCGACGGTTTCATGAAAAAATTATTAATTTAAAATCGTTGCATACAGGGACCCAGGACGGGAACTTTTTTTTTATAATACCGGCTATAGACGTCGGTTATGCGGGCTTGCCTACACTCAGGCGCCAAGGCGTCGCATACCGACTTCTTCCATCTGCTACACCCGTTACGCACATAGAATCTCTGTCTCTCCAGTTTGTGTTCATCGTGAATGACTGTTCACTCCTTATTAATTTCACTCTTCCTTAGGCTTTTCCACAAAGCCCTATTTGCTCATCCTTCCCTTCATTTTCCGTTTTGTTTTGTGTGTGTCCTGTTACGCGGTGTGAATATGGTAACTAATAGTTTGTACTGTTGTACTGAATAAGTATAAGCCGGCGTGTCCATTTTATATTCATAAAAAAATAAATACAAATCGATTATACAAAAAATAGAACAACTGCATTCATCTTCTGGTCTCCACTTTATTACGATCGACCACACCACACTGTAGCACAATCAAAGAAATTGATTTCATAGAGATTGGTTTACATTAAGTAATTAAGGACGCCCTTACAAATTTGTTTTAAAACAGTTTCAATTGGCAGCCTTTCCCCCCCTGTTCCTAATACGCCGCCTGCTGCCGGCTTTGCCTGTACACTCCTAGGAAGCCGAGGATGTGGAGCCCCAACAGTAGCGCTCCCATGCCCAGCAGGTCCTTGAGTAGATGAGCCTGGTCGAAGCCAAGTTCCTCTAGGACTTCTTGTCCGCTGCCAAGGCACGGGCTCCCGGGCGGCCCGGGACAGTCTGTGTAAGTGAATTGCATTAGGATATTGTCTCTCACTATTCCCGGGGGTTACTTTTCCTGAGGTAACGCGCCCCTGCACAGCATGCGGGGCGGCGGGGCGGCCGGGCGGCCGGGCGGCGCGGCGGGGTGCTCGCTCACCGGGGTGGGCCGCCGGCTCCGCACGGACGCTCGGCGGGTTGGCCTACCCAACGCGTTGCGGGCGCTATGAAAAGCGTCGGCTAGCACAAGCCGCGCATGCCTGGTATATTTCAGAGGTGCTGCGACGTTGCCTACTCGCTAGAGCTGTGGGCCAAGGGGGCTACGGCGCCTTTTTACGCGCGAAGGGAGCAGGCAACCAGGCAACCCCGCTCAGAAACACCCGGTACTCATTTGCTCGGAAAACTTTTGTTACGTCCAATGTTTACTCGTGTCGAGTGGGTAGCGTCGCCGTGGCGGCACCCTTCTTTTTGTCAGCTCCCTATAGACACTCCCCAAAATGCGTTCAAATAAGCAACGGTCAGTCGAGGTTCTTATTCTTACCTATATGGGGTACGTTGCGCCAGTAAACAATGGACAGAAGCTCATGGCAGTAATAGAAGACGGACACGAACCTCGCCCAGCTTACGTAGACTGGGAGAGACCTGCAGTGTGC